TTACGCCGCTTCTGCCGACGCACCGGCATCGTTTAGATAAATAAGGAGCTTCTAGCCTCAAGCTTTTGCTCCACACACCTATCAATAATTACAATATCAAATATTCAACTATATTTATGTGATTTTCACAGTCGGGCACAGAGCACAGTAACTGACGTCCGTCTCGGGCCGAAGTTTTCTCGTTTTTCCAGTACAACGGTTGATATCGACACTACTGCGGTGAACACAATTGCCGGAATCGTCTTTACTTAGATGCGGATAGAGGCAAGATGTTAGTTGGGTTCGTTCTAGCTAGCGGGAGCGCAGCTGTGCACCACCAATTTTGTACACCAATAAGCCTTGAATCGAAAGCCTTGGATCTCTCCCGATATCCACCAATCAGCCGTGCACCACTCGGCTTTGTCCTCCGGCCTTGACCACCACCTGCCGTGCACCACCAGGCCGCGGATCGAATCTGATTTCTGGGCATCGTTAAATTACGTAATTTTACGTTCACCGCATCTGAGGTTAGGTTTCAGATAGCATAGTTCTGTTCCAAAATTTATCGTCCTTCGACAAGTTGCCGTTCGACCGAGGGCTGGTTCGACCCACGGCCTAGATACGGACGGCTTGAAGTGTTGAAGGCTACATTCCGGAAGGCAGGAATCGTGATGGTCCATTACATCCAGGGCAGTTGTGGTTCGGCAGGCGACCCCTAGCTAGCGACAGACTCAGGGAACGCTCGAAGAGCTTATACTGACACACAATGATGACGTCACAGAAGGTGACTCAATAATTGCTAGGGCATGTATAGGAAGTGATGACAGACAACCTGACGTTAATTCTCTCTTGCTGAAACTGAATTTATCGCCACCTTCAGTTGATGTATGAAAAAAATCTGAAACTTCTCCTGACAGTAATACGGTTCCCAACGACAGGTCTGATGCTTTTTTTTTTGACAGACTTGGTTAGCCCAGTGAGCAGAGGTGTTTTCGAAACCAGCCACTGTCACAAATTGAGGCACCCTCAAACAGTATCACTATCATGGTCTCCAGTTTTTCTCCCTCATATTCTTCAAACTCAATAATCATGTCTTGCACAGTTTCCCTGACACTTTAATTACGCACGAGGCACAACACGCATGTTCTCTCCTTTCATTCCATCCGTATCTACATTATTCATGCATTCACACTCGAAGCCTTTTCTCTCGCAAGATAAAAGGTCCCCGTCCCTAATACAGTAATACATGCGTCAACCATTATACACGTGTTCATATCTAGTCATTTCTCTTATCTGACATAGTTTAAGGAAGTCCTTTCTTTCCATGTCTTGCTCCCGTACCCTTGAACCAAATATATTATCCGTTTTCTCAATTTTCTCTATTCTATTCCTTGAAAACCCTCTTCGTCCCAAAAGTGTCGGAGCGGTATTACGAATTCGGTATTGCCAAAGTCTCGTGCAGCACCTCGCAGACAATTTCCCGCGTGTGCTAAGTTTCACCGAGCTACATTAATTAGTTTGCGATATATTTTAGGCTTACTGTTGTGCGTGTAGAAGCTTGAAGACCGACTACAACAGCAGCAAAAAAAAAAAAATGCCCGTAAGGTGCCATGTAGCACCTCTCACTTATGTGTTATTGCGTGACCTCTCGAACACTTGTGCAGCCTGACTTGCAGCCGGTCTCCAAAGTTCTATTATCCTAAAATATCTCCCAAACTAGTCGATGCTACTCGATGAAACTTTGCATACGTGTTCAACAAAACCTAACGGTGATGTTTAGGTGATGACCATTTTTCAATGTTTGACAGTAAAAAGATAATACGGGCAAAACTGCACGTGTCGGACAATTTTACGGCCGGGCTCGCGGCCAGCCTCACGATTGGCCTTGAAATTCAGGGAGCGCAGCCGTGGGTAACAAAATTGACTCGTAAGCAGGCCCTGGGCCTAACGCCAACCATCAGCATGCAATATCTACACATAGCCTAAGACCAATGAGCTGTGGGTAACTTCGGCTAACAGTAAACCCGCTTTGCACAACACAGCCACTGCTCCACAGCGCAACTTGCCGGAGCGCAACAGGCGGCGCAGGTTAGGTTAGGAGTAGCTGTTGCGGTAGGGCCTGTTGCGCCTCGGCCAGTTGTGCTCCGGCCTGTATGCGCTCCGGCCTGTGACTGAACGGCGCTGTTGTCAGTGTTGTGGTGGGCGCTTTGTGTCAAAAGCCGTGAAGATGCCCGGCTGCGTTACGCTCGGGAAGGTATATGAATCGCACTGTGGACTTGGGCTATGCTGACCTCTAGCTATCCACCCGAAATTCAATGATCAAGGAATATCTCCCTAACTAATGAACGCAGCTCAATGAAACTTTATACAAGTATTCACTAGGACCCACGTAGTGAGCCTGATATATCTTCTTTCCTATAGAAAAGATTGAACGAAATTTTAAAAACACATTACAGACCACCTAACAGTGATGTTTAATTCGTGGACATTTTTTTATTTTGTTTTGTTCGCGAGGCTATACTGAGAAACGACCGGCATTTCTGTGGCCGATTTTCAAATTTGCAGTGAGCCTTATATTATTTTATAGCAAATTTGCAGTGAGCCAAGCTTATTAAAGAAGCTTGGAGAATCTCTGCGTTTGCATTTATTATGCCATAACGGTGATGTTTATCGCTTTTTCGATTTGCCTCCGTTTCCGAATTATAACGATAAATTTCGTTCAAATCTGTACCGTAGGACAGAAAGCAATTACGCTCGCTGCGAATTTTGTACCGTTTAACTTATGCGACACCAAAACATTAGTCACTATCTAAACATCACCTCTAGGTTCTTACGCAAACTTTCATCGATCCATGGTTCATTCAACCATGGTTCGATCTACGTTCACTAGTTTGGGATATATTTTTAAGCTCGCTGAACCTTGAAAACCGGCCGTTAAAGTGTCAGAGAGGTGATTGCATGGACCTTACGTTATAATTTACTCATTGTATTGATCTCGATCGATAGCAATCTCGATTTTGTAAAAGCTTGATTACTTGGAATTTATTGTTGAATTTGAAGAAAAAAAATCCTACATCAGCAATAAATAATTTAATTGGTTAGCGGTAATAAACTGGTTCGATGAGGATTTTATCTCGTTTGTAACTTATTAGCTACATTTTTATTTTGTTTCGTTTGAAAGTCGTTCAGTATGAATTTTGTTTCGTACGAAACTCGTTCAAAACGACAAACCCAATAACGGTTCTGTCACGACTCACGGTGACGGATAACAGTAGTACAGTACCTCTTCGTTCGTCGCTGTGGACTGTGGTGTTGTATGAAAAACGGTATCGTTGAGGTATGAAAATGATAGAATGTATTTTTCTCTCATTGCATAGGCTAGTTCGATCTGTGCGTAATATATAATTAAATTGTAATAGAAGTTAATCTAACATTTAAATATTAATTACCTGATTTACCTCCTATATATGTAACCTAAGACTAAGTAGGAAATAGCCTACCTACTAGCAGAAGTGCTCGAGTCGAGCGGGCGGCATTCACGTCAAGATTCCATTATTGAAAATATAGTCATAGGCCCCTTTTGAGCTGAAATATTTTAGTAATGACTAATGAGTATTGGAATAATTGACGAAATAAGTTTTTGCAAGGTACCTAGGTATTTTTGTAAACTTTTATCTGAATGAAACTGTTATATCTTCTAGTTTCTACCTTGAGTAAACCCTAAATACTATTAAGTTTTTAACTAACGCATCCGGCATCCGCAGGTAGAATTCCATTGCCTTTCAGTTTCAGTTATACCTACTTTCAGGCTTCAGCACCTTAAAATAAAAAAAATGAGCCAATGAGGCATAGATCTTTGAAGCAGCAAATATCGGCATAGCCTATATCAATTTGGTAAAAAAAAATTTTTCAACAAATATACTCATAAATGTTGAATTAAAAAAACTTGGTGTCAATAGGGAACAATTCAATGCATTATGCAATAATGGTCATTGGTCCTGGTGACTGCCCTGGTGTAGTGTTGAATTGTTTGAACATTGAACAACAAACCACTATTATTATGGCAGTTTATGTTAGAGGTGTACTTAGTCTTCGTGTACAAATTACAATACCTAGCCTACCTACTTTATTTTTGCATATCGCTTAAGTTAAGGGGACCGACTAGGCCCTACGGAAAAACTTCTACAGTTATTATCATCCGATCATCATGAAACTTCAAATTACATACGTAAAATGTAAAAAAAAAAACATTTTGCTTCTATGAATTTTTCGAAAAAATTGATAGAAAACATGAAATTCATAGAAAACTGCTAAAAAGGGGTACTTTAGAAAAAAATCTATCTCCTCCTACAAATATCATCCTACAACATCAAGACACGTATCATTCGGTTTGTAAGGACCATACCTAAAAATTTGATGATCACTTTTCTTATTTTCCCCTTAGTTTTTTTTATACGCGTTTTATCCCATTTTTCTCATTTTTCCCCCCTCCCCCCCTCTTCTCTCCCATATAAAAAAACGAACCAGATAGAAATTAAAAAAAATGATCATCAAATTTTTAGGTAATTTCCTTACGAATCGAATGGTGTATGTCTCATTGCTGTAGCTTGAAAACTGTAGGAGGAGATAAGTTTTCCGTGACAATAAGTTGAACTTTTAAAACTTTTCAGGACGGCGTGACAAAGTCCCGTGCGCCTCGAAATAGGCACTCAATGTAGCATGGATACCAAACTACAGGCTTCTGTAGCTTAATCCACTCAAGGATGCTAGCAGCAACTTGTAGCGCACCTCTACGTACAATATTAGGAGGGTAACTGAGCTCAGATGCCAGATACACCAAGATATGTAGTCTTGCTGCTCTAATTTTCTTAGGTCTATTTAGTTAAGGAACTCCACCCCCCACCCCCCATTAAAGCCCGGCCATCTGCGTCAATATTGCTGTACATGGATCGCAGTAGTATCGTTGGAAAGCTCAGAACGTCAGCTTTAAGATGAGACTAAGCATGTAACTGCAGCACAACTCAAGTAGAAACTATATTCAAAGATTTCAGCAGCTAATTACTTTATATCTAATTACTTAAAGAACTCTCCCACCCGCTTCCCTTTAAAGAGACGTCATGAACGTAAATATTGGCGTACAGCAATGGCAGTGGTACCATTGTAAAGAGCAGAATTCCAGCTTTAAGATGAGCTCAAAAACCGGAAAACGCCAAAATTGAAAATTTTAGGGTAGTCGGTCCCCTTAAAGTGTTTTATCAAGGTTCTGAATTTGACTAGACTATGGCTTTATGTTTATAGCCTTCATTTGATGTAAAACTAACTAAACCTCTTTCTGAAACTACTGTCAAATGGGATAATAATATATAAGGGACTAAAGGGACAGGCAGGGTATTAAGGGACACTGGGACAGTCCTCTGAGTCAGAATGTTCAAGTCAAGGGGCACTTAGAATGAAAAGTAATTAACCTAAACTATGATAATAATGATTTTATCATGAAAAATATGATGGTTGTCACTATAATATTCCTTTGTCTTTGTGTTTCAGCCTTCAGGAGTTCAGGTGCCATCGAACAGGGTAATAAGGGACGATTAAAAGCATTTTTCCTTAATAACTTCTTACCATGAAACATTTCATAAACAAGTTTGGGCTCATTTTAAAGGCATTTGCGAGGGGCGGCCGAGGGCTATTGTATGGCATCTCTGTGAAAATTCCATATGCTTTTCATAAGGTGCCAGAAGCAAAATAAAAGCCTCCTGAACTATCCCTGGGAATGGGGTAATAAGGGACACTTGAAATAAAACTCAATTTTAAAACGTGTAAATCATGCAGATTGCAGAGTGTACTCATCTATTAGTATTAGGTACTAAGAAGTTAATAGTACTCTGAAGTCTTCCTTTGTAGATAATGTAGAAGTAGAATAATGACATTTTCTGTGTTTTTACTGGTTTTTCCTTTATTGTTATGCTATTACCTTATGCATACAATACTGTATTATTAAGGTGATAATACATTATTATCTAATCCATGGACATGCCATTGAGTGTTGACAACAACCTTGTCCACTGCAAGCATCATATCAGCAGCCATGTAGCATTTCTTCTGTAGGTAAGCGTACAGGATGGCTTGTAATTTTTCACTACTTTAACACTTTGACTCTGATTGCTTAATCTTGTAATATTATTTTATTTTTTGTACTGTTTTTAACTGGGTTGCCAGATGGTCTTTTTTTCCGGACAAATTACGTGATTTAGTTTTTCTCAACATGTGTTGGCTGGCTAAAATTTATGATAGGGGTACTTCCTAATGAAATTTTAAATACTGCAAAAAGAAAATAAATGGAATTTTTACAGCAGAACCTACAAATAAACTAGTATATGTCGAGTTCTTGGCCTTTTTACAACACTTCTCTTTAACTTCACTTCTTGTTTGTTTGTTTGTCTGTCTGTCTGTCTGCTACAAATCTTATAATCAATATTTAACACACTTCTACTTGCCCAATCAATCTGAAATTTGGCACACTTGCGTAAAGTTGGAGACAATGCATGAATCAATTGACAGAATAAATAATTTTATAAATTAAAAAAAAATTTTCATTATTAAAAAAAATTGCAAAATAATTTCACCTGCCACAAATCTTATAATCTATATATGACACAATTTGTCCTGTCCAATTGATCTGAAATTTTGCACAATTGCATAAAGTCAGAGACAATGCATGAATCAATTGACAAAATGAATAATTTTGAAATTTTGCAAAATTTAGATATCTTAAAAAAAATTGAAAAATAATTTTTTTCAATATTTGAAAATAAAATTAGAAATTCATTGTACATGTGTTACATCCAATGCACTGGATTGTTCAGAAGTGTTGTCTTTAAAAAGTAATTTTTAAACGCATATTATTTGTTCTCAGATTTGGCCAGTTTTAGGCAACCTGAATTATGTACCACTACATCCTGGAGAAATACATTTCATGGTACATATATGTACCACTTTGGAGTCAATGTGTTAATTGAGTCAGGTGAATTCACTATAATGAAAATATATTATACAAACCAACCTGAAAAACAAAAGAATGTTTTAGTGAAAACCATCATATTTTTTGAGAAAAAAAAATTATAGTTTAGGTTGATTACTTTTCATTCAATGTTGCCAGTGGACAATTCTAGTTTCTATCTATGGCATTCTATGCACAATTTTATGATGACTGATGATGCATTAGTTTTTCGCTGAGTGAGGTAAATCTAATAAAAATTGTATGTTATTATTACCACGTTTTTCTTTACTTCATTTCGTGTCTGTCTGTCATAAAAAATTCAAACCTTAATGTAGAGCACTTCTAAACATCCTAGTAAGTTGAAATTTGGCATGCATGCTTATGCTGCCTAACAATTCAAGATTTGATCATCAAAAATATTAATTAAAAAAATTTTTTTTAAGAAAAAAATAAAAAAAAAAACGCTAAAAATTCACTGTTTGGAATTGAGTTTTTTTTTTTTTTTTGAATATCCACACTTGCCAACCCTGGAAATTGATGTGAATTGCTAAAATTGCTAACTAAAAAGTGGAAAATAAATAAATATAAAAATATTTATAGAAACCACGTTTTTCTGGTTTTTACAAAACTAAAAAAAGTGAAATAAAACAAGAAACTTTTCATAAAAACAATGTTTTTTTAACAGACAAAAAAGAGAAACATTTACTCTTACATAACATTACATAACATTTTACATAACTTGAATGTTATATAAGAGTGAATATTTTTCTTTTTTGTCCGTTAAGAAAATGTGGTTTTTAAAAGTTTTTTTATTTGTTTTATTTTCTTAACAGACAAAAAAGAAAAATATTCACTCTTATATAACATTTAAGTTATGTAAAATGTTATGTAATGTTATGTAAGAGTAAATGTTTTTCTTTTTTGTCCTAAGAAAACGTTATTTGTTTTATTAGTTGATTTTTTTGTTGACTGGGGCCTTTGCTAACCAGGGCCTATACTTTCAAAAAAAGTTAAGAGATCGTGAGTTCATCAGCCAATCATTGACAGCCTTTCAAGTTAATTCAACCAATCATAGACAAGAAAATAGAGTGTAAGTACTTATGTTCACTTAGCGAGTTTTGAAAGTATAGGCCCAAGGCTCTACTGTAAGTGTGTTTTTAGGGGTGTCCCTTATTACCCTGGGGGTGTCCCTTATTACCCCGTCATGCGGAAATGGCCGCCATTTTTTCTGGAATGAGATACACTAATTCTGTCAATCAAATTTTGAAGCCAACACCTGTGTGCAACTTTTATGCAAGTAAAATTTTTTAATACAGAGAATATTTATATGCTGCAGACCT